CGTCGCATCCGACGGCTGGGGAGCTGGCAGCCCTTCGGCGCCTCCCGCCAGGACAGGCTCCCGCCGCGCGCCGCATCCCAAGTCCGAGCACACCGACGGCCACCTCCATTATCGACGGCCAGCCGCCGCGTGCTCCCGTAGGGTCCAACCGCCGCGGCCTCTACACGCCCAGGATCAGGTGCGGCGAAGACTGTTGTTCCCGAGCCGTTGCAGGCGACGGCCGATACGACCGCCTCAACTACGATCAAAACGTGTCCTGGACGAGCATCGAAGAAGGTTACATCCCCCTATCCAACCGCCGATACAACAACCAAAACGTGGTTGTGAGATGGCCAAGCAGCCTACCTCCGCCGCCGCCAAAACTACGCCACATATGCTGCTGGGTTGCATAGCGATTGCGATCGCGTCAAAGTATTGAGTCGCCAGTACCACCACATATGTCCGACTGGGTGGGATGATGACCATGGTTATCGCGTCCGCATATCCGATCGATCGACAAGATTACAACAAAATTCTGGCCGAGTGGGATGGCAACGGCAGGCGGCAGCCAGGCTCTGCCCTGCCCTCTCGTTCGGTCCGAATCACATGATCATCTCTTCGTCTTTTCTTTTCCCGGTTTGTTGAATCACATTTTACTTACTTAATGTGTGACACGGCAAGTAAATTTCTGATTTCTGGCATGATACATTCTGCACTTAAACCATTTAGAACCCACATTGACATCTTGGAATTGTTTATGTTCCCCATTTTATAGTGGTTAGAGCATCTCCAGCTGGTTTTTGAAATAGAAAATCGGCCAAACACGCCACAAATTCATCCAGCCTAGACGATTACATTGATATTTGTACAAAAACTTAAAAACATAAACTAAAAACTACAACTACGCCTAGCACTACTACGCCACTGTCGTCGTCCGCCGCCGCCCGCCTTCTATATGCCGAGGAGCTTGTAGAACCAGGTGTAGTCACCGTCGCTGTCATCCCTGCTACATCCCTGACCAGCATCGTCGATGCGTGGAGGGTTGGACGGCCCGGGCACGTCCTCGTCGTCGCTGTCGAGGACGACGCTGCCGCCTTCCTCACGTCCGTGGTAACGAGCGGCGATCTCCTCGAAGGCGTGGCACTAGCGCTCCAGCTGCTCGCGGGCATACTCCGCCCTCGCCCATTTGAGGGTGGTCTCGTGGGCGGCCATGTCCGCGGGCTCCTTCTTCACGGGGAGCAACCCCGGCTCGGTCTTCGGCCTGACGAGCCGGGAAGAAGAAGGAAAGGGGTGGCCGCCCTCGCGGATGACGAGGGCACCACCGCGGGTACGGCGCTCCAGCGGCGTCTCCTGTGGCTCCGTCTTGATGGGGCGGAATGTCGGCGAACCCGAGGAAAGGGAACCAGAGCTCGACGAGGAGGAGGTCGCCATCTCCATCCGCCGCGGCAGCGCGAGAAGCTGGGGGCGCCGGGTACTCCAGGCGCGCCGTGTTGCCGGCCTCGATTTGCTCGAGGACGGCTTTGAGGGTGCGGCCGGGGACGCCCCACCATCGGCGCCACCCCTCGGAGTTGTGGCAGCCGCGGGGCTCGACGCCGTTCGAGGAGGCGAGCTGGTCGGCATGGCGGCGTTCGAAATACATAGTCCACAACGTGTTGCTGTCGGGGGCGTACCTCAGCTGATTACGCACCTCCTCCGTCAGCGAGGACCGGATGCACGCGATCTCGGCGCGGCGGGCAGCGCCGGTGGGTGAGTGGTGGCACTGGGACTCCACCGGTGCTCAGCTTCCACGTGACCGGCACCCACATGTCCGGCGGTGCCGGGTAGTCGGCCTCGTAGAGGAGTTGTGCCTTGTCCTCGTGCAGATGACAGCGGCCAAAGCCATTCGCTGCCGCGTCGTCGCCTGGGTAGCGCTCGGCCATGCTCGTCGGCGGGGAGAAAGGAAGAGGAGAGACGAGCTCGGTCGAGAGGGGCATCAGCGGGGAGAGGAGGAGCTGTGGTGAATGGAGTGTGTGCTCCCGGCGAGGGGCGGCTTTTATAGCTGGGCTTGGGACGGTGGGAGGGCGGCCGACGTGTGTACGTGTGGCGGGCTCGGGCGGGACGCGCGTCGCCGCGCCTTCATTCCACCGCCCGTGAGGCATCAATGGTGGCTGACCGGCGCGGCAGCGTGGCAGCCTTGCTATTGATTCCCCGCGGGAACCGACGAGATGAGGACGATGATGCGCCGGGCTTGCTGACTCGGCGGGCCCACCGTGCTTTCGCGCCAAAAATATTCCCCCGGCGCCCCCAGGCGCCCCCCCCCCCAGCGCGCCGGGTTCGGTCTGGGTCAACCAGCGCCAAATTTGGGCCTTACCGGCGAAAATTAGGCTTCTGGAGACGCAACTGGGCCGTTTTTCAGCGCCGACGCTAAAAAAGTGCCTTGGGGGGCTGTTGGGGGCGCGGCTGGAGATGCTTTTAGCTTTCTTCCATTTCTAATGAAAATGGTGTTTTTTTTTTCTTTAATTCAGGCACAACAAGTGTGGCATCATGTTGCATATTATTCACACAGGAATCATGCCCATGCGTGAAGAGTTTGCTGCTGGATCCCAAGGGTAAAAGTGTGTGTTGCTGTGAAGCCACAGAGGCAGCAGATCAAAATTTCCTGATTAATCATCATCATCTTTTTCTTTGTGATTCCTTATACCGTAATATTAATCGGCTATACCATGATACAATCATACAAGTGCCTGGATCATAGAAGCATTACCGGCCAATGCAAAGAAAACAAATCATTATCTCTAAGCAGAAAAAAAAAAGCTGGATCAAATGTTATTTTTGTGGTACCATCCTCTTTTGCAGCCCTCTGTAGCATGTCTTCTAGCCTAGGATGTATATTGCAGAATGTTTTTGCAACAAAGATTATATTGCAGAATTTCTGTCTGCATCATCACACTGTTCCGTTGCCACTGCAACATTCCCCATGTTTTCGGAAACATAGACGATGTTGCAAAATCCTAAGACTTGTGGTGTATGGGACCGTTCGACACGTGGCTAGCTCTCGATGTGACGAATCATGATGCATAGATCGGCCGGATGATTCTAATCATTTCCCATATCATTGAATCCATCATAAAATATATTTTTCATATTATATTTATTTTGTATAGTGAATGTTGACGATTTTTAATATAAATTTGGTAAAACTTCACGAAGTTTGACTTGGAGGAAATCTAATATGCAGAGTAAGAAGGACTGGAAGGAGTACTAAGGGGTTTTGCCGACGTTAATAAAGTGGTTTCGTGTAATTGACTCTATCTTTGTTATTTTCCGACCTTCCATTTTTGCTTCTTCATTCATAAGTCCATGGAGCCGAGAATTCGCATGGAAACTCTCATGCAAAACTGCAGTAAACCATGCTTAAATTGGCTCAAGGAAATTCTTGGACCACAACCTTTCTTGTTTGCCCACTTTCTTCTTTTGTTGTCAACCATTTCACACCAATCTCATTTTTTTTTAGCTTGACAATCTCATTTTTTAAGAGAAGAAAAATGTTTCTCCAGCAATATTTTAGGTCCACAAAAATTAACCTTTAATCACACCCGGGGCTCCTCAGCCCACTACCGTAGCGAGCGCCGGCGACCGTCGGATCTCAGATGATAGCCATCTGGATCGTCCATCCGTGACGCGAATGGCCCCCACGCCCGACTCCGCGGTCCGCGATGCTCTGGGAGATTGCCAGGCCGCGCCGCCGCTCGTCCTCTCCTTGAGACGGCGCGGGGAGGCCACGGCGTGGAGGTTCCCGGAGCGGAGCGATGCGCATCGCCGCGCCGCTCCATCACCAGCGAGGCTTCGGTCACTGCGTCTCTGCTGTATCCCCATCTCCAGCTCCGTGCAGTGCGGTGTCCGGCCTCTGGTGTCGACCGTACCCTGCCTCTCCCTTGGCAGGTGGGTCGCCGTCCCCCCTTTGCCTGCCACCGACGAGCGGCTTCTGCCGGAGGTGCCGCTGCGTGAGGGACGGCTCCTCATCACATGATCCTCTCCTCGTACTATTTTCTTCTTCTGGTGTTGCTGAATCACATGATGCTTTAATTTTGTGATATGACAATTAAATTGCTGATTTCTGACATGATGCGGTCTGCATTTAACTACCTATAATACGTACTGATATACTGGAATTGTTACTTGCTCGCCTTTTCATAGTGGTTAGATTTCTTTTATTTCTGAAATGAAAAATGGCGCTCTGTTTCTAGCTCAGGCACAACAAGTGTGGCATCATGTTGCATGTTATTCACACAGGAATCATGACATTGTGTGGAGAGTTTGCTGCTGGATCCTGACTCCTGAGGGTGCTGTGAAGCCACGGAGGCAAATCAAAATTTCCTGATTAATTATGATCATTTGTGATTCCTCATACCATAATGTTAATCGCCTATACGACGATACAAGTGCCTGGATCACAGAAGCAACCTACTCTCAGTGACAAGTGAGGATTTTCAAGAGAGCCCAATTATATGCCGAGGGAGAAAGAAAAATCGTTATCTCTAGGCAGAAAAGAAGCTGGATCAAATGTTATTTTGTGGTACCATCCTCTTCTGCAGTAGTACTTTGTAGCATGTCTTGTAGCCTAGGAACACATGCTTTATTTTAACCCCTTCATCACATGGAACTGACAGTGGCTCTCTGCTTCCATGATACTCCTAAAGAGCAAGGTTCAGACTGAAAAAGGAGCACCAAGTGCAAGTGGCAATAGAAAACTGCACACCCATCCGAACCCCATTTCCTCCATCAGAAAAATCGTCTCGTCTCTGAAAGAGACCTTTGAAACCCCCTCTGAAATCTCTGAAAGAGACCCATTTCTTCCAGCAGAAACAATGCAATGCTGGCTGGCATTTTAAATCCTGCCTGGACCAGTCATGACTTGCGTGCCTCTGCTCGCCCAGGGGTCGTAAACAACGGGTTAACAAAGTCTTCTCGCCTCATTTCACATCCCCATCTGAAGAACTACTAGTCCCCTTCCTCGGTTCCTCCTCCTGTCCCCCTCTCCCATGGCCCAATCCTGGGCCTTCTTCCTCCTCGTCGTCCTCTGCTTCTGCTGTGTGTCCGACCTCATCTGCGGCAGCAATGGGGAGCGAGTCTTCCTCTACCCGCAGTCCCAGAAGGTCTCGTCCATCGTCAGCCAGAGGTACCGGACCGCCTACCACTTCCAGCCCCCCAAGAACTGGATCAACGGTATGTTCATACGCCTCCCTCTCTCTGATTGCTTGCTTCCTGGGCCATCTGTTGACTTTTTGGCTGTGGCCAATCAGAAGGTGTGATTTGGTCTGCTTTGCTTGTTCTTGGGTGTTGCTGGAAAAGCTAGTGATCTGATTGGCTGGTTGTTCTGTTCAGCTGTAGAAGCCGAGTTAATTCTGTTTGTGCTAGTATTATTGAATAATTTACTTGCTAAATATAAATATACATGTTGTAGTAAATTTTTTGAGGCAGTGTTGTTAATATTGCATACTGTTTTTGCTGTCAGAAAGTAGTTATTACATGGTGAGGGGGACGGTAGGTGGCCAACTCATTACTTGTGCCACTCTGTTTCTGAATGTTGCACACATTAGGTGCTCTCTGTACCTGCAGTTGGATTTTCAGTGACACCACTATAGTATGATGATAGCCATGTTTTCTAGATTCTTGCCCAAAACGGACGTGTTCACTGTATAGTGATTTGCTTTCCCAAGAATGCTTGCCCACATCCATAGTATTCTCTGAAGATGTCCAAATTTGCTCCACCGTTAGTGCTGCTTTTTGTCAGAAAGCATCCACTTAACATCAGGTGTCTGGGAAATATTAGACAGATCTGTTGCTGCAAGTAATGAAGTACTGGCCTGTTTTGGAATCCAGAATATGTTTTCTCCTGTTACTATTGCCAATTATCAAATCCTATTAGCTGTGTGCATATGTTACTGCAAATCGTTGACATTCTCTCACCTTTTTCATGTATCCGATGGATTGGCGATCCTTGGAAATCTACGAAAACACAAAAGATCCAAACGGTATGAATATTTCAGGCACAAAGCACTTTTGAATTGCAGCACCCTACATCTTACACTGCCTTCTTAAACATTTCAGGGCCAATGTACTACAATGGCATATACCATGAGTTCTACCAGTACAACCCCAATGGCTCCGTCTGGGGTAACATAGTTTGGGGCCACTCAGTTTCTACAGACCTCATCAACTGGATTCCACTTGAAACCGCAATAGCGCGGGACACCCCGAGCGACATAAACGGTTGCTGGACCGGCTCAGCCACAATCCTCCCCGGTAACCGACTGGTCATCATATACACCGGTGCCGACCCGGAAAAGCGTCAGGTCCAAAACATTGTGGTTCCGAAAAACATGTCTGACCCGTACCTGAGGGAATGGACCAAAGCCGGCAATAACCCGGTGATCCAGCCGGTCGGTCCAGGCTTGAACTCGGGCCAGTTCAGGGATCCGACAACCGGTTGGGTTGGACCTGATGGACTGTGGAGGATAGCAGTTGGTGCTGAGCTCAACGGCGACAGTGCTGCACTTTTGTACAAGAGCAAAGACTTTCTGAACTGGACTAGAGTTGACCACCCACTGTATTCATCCAATTCCTCCTCTATGTGGGAGTGCCCGGATTTCTTCGCGGTATTGCCAGGCAATAGCGGTGGACTGGACCTGTCTGCAGCGATCCCGAATGGTGCCAAGCATGTCCTCAAGATGAGCCTGGATTCCTGTGACAAGTACATGATTGGGGTTTATGATCTGAAAAGTGACACCTTTATTCCAGATACTGTCCTAGATGACCGCCGGCTATGGTTGAGGATCGATTATGGTAATTTCTATGCCTCAAAGTCATTTTTCGACTCGAAGAAGAGCAGGAGGATCATATGGGGTTGGACTAACGAGACAGACAGTTCTTCGGACGATGTTGCAAAAGGTTGGGCAGGAATCCATGTAAGAAAATCTGCCTCTCATTCGCTATAACTGCTTCATATTGAAATATTGATTTACCAAATCAGTGTAGCAACTTTAACATTTTTGCTATTACTTTTAGGCAATTCCCAGGACAATTTGGTTAGACAGCCATGGCAAGCAGTTGCTGCAATGGCCAGTTGAAGAGGTCGAGTCCCTTCGAGGAAATGAAATCAACCATCAAGGACTAGAGCTGAAGAAGGGTGGTCTGTTTGAGATTAAGGGAACTGACAGTTTCCAGGTAGTTTCCTGTACACAAACAGGCTTGCCTTTGTCATCCAGAGAAAAAATCCCTCAAAAAGTCCCACGCCAATAAACTGATAGTTACATATTTGGCAACAAAAACACTAGCATATATTCTTCAGCTTAGGTGTTCTGTATTTTTCAGAGCAACTGTAGCTGATCCGGCACGTCATTCTCTTGAAACAGGCTGATGTGGAGATAGACTTTGAGCTGACGTCCATCGATAAAGCCGATCCTTTCGATCCCTCCTGGCTTTTGGACGTCGAGAAGCATTGCCGGGAAGCGGGTGCATCAGTCAATGGTGGCATAGGGCCATTTGGACTTGTTGTCCTGGCCTCTGACAACATGGAGGAGCACACTGCTGTGCACTTCCGGGTGTACAAGTCAGAGCAGAAGTACATGATACTCATGTGCTCTGATCTAAGAAGGTTAATGCTTATGGTTCTTGCCTTAATGTTTTATTTATCTCTACAAATGTCTGAAAACTAAAAACAATTATTTTCTTTTTTTGCACAGTTCTTCATTGAGACCAGGACTGTACACACCAGCCTATGGAGGCTTCTTTGAATATGACCTTGAAAAAGAAAAGAAGATATCTCTGAGAACTTTGGTGAGCTTGGAAGGCCTTTTCATTTCTCATGTTGCTCACTTCACGCGCTTTGTGTCAGAACTGAAAATGGATGATGTGCCGTGCAGATTGATCGGTCGGCGGTGGAGAGCTTCGGCGGTAGCGGCAGGGTCTGCATCATGGCCAGAGTGTACCCCGTGGCGGTTGTCGACGGCGTGGCCCACATGTATGCCTTCAACAACGGCAGTGCCACGGTCAGGGTGCCACAGCTCAGGGCCTGGAGCATGAGGAGAGCACAAGTGAATGTGAAAGGGATGGAGTGATGATGGTTAACAAAGCAGAGCAATTCTAATTGACTTGTGATTGGAGAACTGGATCGATTTGATCACTTGTTTAGCACACTTCACTATTTTGAAAAAAAAACAAATTATTCCCATTCATGAGCACTTCTAGTAGGTAGAAATAAAAGGAAATTCAACAGGAAAGATATTAGCTGCTCATTTCCTTGACCTCTAGGATTCATGTATTATAGTCTACCGATACTTGGTCACAAAGAAGGAAAAATATTACTGTTTTAAAGTAGTGGTAGTTGGCAATTGGTAAGGAAACATGATGCGTGTTGTCAGCATCGGCATTACCGTTCAGAGTTACAAAAGGTAATAAATAGTACCACGAGCTTGTGCATGTCAGAGAGCTCAAGAGAGAATCCCTGATAGGAAATGTCCTTTTGCTTGTGAGAATGTAAGATCTGCACTACTGCTCATTGCGGATCATATGAACGATATGGCTTCAGGACAGCTCCTGCATCAGTTTCACACTTTTCTTTCGCGAGTAGATGAGCTTTTTATTGCTTAACCTTGGGGATTACAATCATGACGGTGTAACAAATCAATCTCATTTGGTCCAGACCTATGTCAGTTTTTTTTTCTTGCGGGGACAAACCTAAGTCAGTTTCACATATTGATCTGTTGCCCTTTGAGTCTCTCATGATTCTATCAATGACATGTACTTAGGGATGAGATCAGCGACTAGCTATTGCTTTATTGTGTGGTGTACATGTCACAATTTAAGGGAGAAAATGGCAAGTAATTTTGCAGCGAATGAGATATACTTATAGTAATAGTTCGCGACAATATTTACTCAATTTTAAATTATTGGCACATTTTATGCCCTAATTTTTGTTTTCGATGGATTTCTGCTACAGCCTACATGCTGGGTGTAACTGGGAACCAACCTGCAACGTCTTTTTTTTTTTTTTACGGAAATGGAATGGCCAGTAATTTTTTTTGAGTTGCCAGTAAAATTAAATGGGCTCCTCGTGGGGAAGTACTACTACACGTCACATGATCCTGGACTGCCATAGTCTCGTGTAGCTTTCCAGCCCAAAACGCTGGTAAGGGAGAGGTTTACCGAGGTAATCACAACAGGATTATTAGTACTACCTCGCCTAAGCACAGCGTGGAGCCCGTGGAGAGAGTTATAAAACAATGTGGCGAATCTCTTTTCAAAGTATATCTTTCTCGGCCTTTTGGCTAAGATTAAGTGTAGTGTCTGTTCTTATCAGTTTAATATCTGATATGTGGGCTATGTGCCCACAACGATATTAAATTTATTTTTTATGGGGTAGGGTCCAACACAATAGCTTGCTATCGGGGTGCTCATGTGTCGCCTAGGCGTTGCACTATTGCCTAGGCCTGGCGCACCCCAACCAAATCATTATAAGAGAAACTTTTTTGTTGAATAATAACTTGTGATTTTATCATTAACCACTCGTGGATGTGGTGTTGCCAACTAGTAGTGCCACAACACTAGTTAATGTGAAGAGTTGAAGTGATGATTTACATAGCTGAGCGGTTCTAAGTTGACTGGGTGCTTTTAATCTTTAGTACACTTCCATTTTCCTGATTTTTTTGCTCCCATTTATGAGCAATAAAAGGAAACTCAATGGGAAGCAAAATTAGCTGCTTGTGTTCCTTGACCTGCACTATCAATGTACTCCCTCCGTCCCAAAATGTTTGTCGGAGAAATGGATAAAAATAGATGTATCTACAACTAAAATACATCTAGATACATTTATTTGTCCGACAAGTATTTCCGGACGGAGGGAATACTACATTTTACAACTTTTATTTAATTTTGTGCTAGATTAGATATATTGTTTTGTGATTCTCATGTTGACGAATGAAAACTAAAAATTATCTTTTATTTGCACAGTTCTTTGCTGAGACGGACTATTATGGTGAGTTTGGAGGCGTTTTTCATTTCCCCTATATTAACTTCATGCATTTCATATTAGGATGGAAAATAGATGCCGCCTTGCAGATTGATCGGTAGGCTGTAGAGAGCTCTGGAGGCCGTGGCAGGTCTTCATGGTCAGAGTCTATCTCGTGGCACTTGTGGTAGGGCCCACACCACATGTATGCCTTCAACCGTGGCAAGCCCATGGTCAGGGTGGCATAGCTTAGGCCCTGTTCGGGACGTGGGTTCACAAAACAAAGGATTTGAAAAATGCATAGGTATGGGATGGAGTGCCAAGTGAAAACCTACAGGCTTCCAAAAAAAGAAATGGGAACCTATGGAGTGTTCTGAACAAAGGAAACAAGTTTTGGAATCTGCACACTTCTCTAGGAAATAGAACTAGCCGTTATGTGACTTGTCACTGCATTCTTGCCGTTGATTTCTCTAGCCGTTGCTTTCTCTAGCCGTTGCTTCTTCTTTCTCTTGCTATATAAGCACATACAATGCACTGCTAGCAACTTGCTTGTCATTTCTTCTCCTCCTCCCCTGTAAGAACTTCTCTAGGAACACATAGTCCATTCTTTCTCTTGCTATATAACCTCAAAATCCATTCATTCCTAAAGCTGAATGGATCCAAACTACAGCCGACGGTCAAGAAACGAAGATGATTTTGTACATTTCATACTCCCTACATTACAAGGTAGCTCATCCCAATCATCTCAGAGGAGAGCAATACATACATCCATCCTAAATGGAGCTACTTATGTGCATGAAGCTCTTACTGGCCATGAGGTTCTATGTGAATGGAGGTTCCATATGGAGAGATCAATCTTTCAAGCTTTAGCACAAAAACTGCGTGAAAATCACCTTCTCCAGGATGCAAGGTACATCTCTGTACAAGAGCAAGTAGCCATATTTTTTTATGCAGTATCAAAGAATGCAACCAACAGAACATTGCAAGACAGATTCCAGCATGGCGCTGATTCAATTAGTACTTATTTCCACGCCGTGCTCAACGCGATTACACGACTCACATGCAACTACATACAACCTTCTGTACACCAGCATCCCATATTAAGGCAACAGAAGTTTTCATACTTTAAGGTAATTGTTTTTCAAGTCCTATCATGGTGAATTGGTATTGATTAAATCTAGCTTATATTTATATATCTAACTATTTAATTAAATCCGCAGAACTGTATTGGAGCTATTGTTGGTACTCACTTTCCCATGACTATTCCGCCTGGGCAACAAGATCCATACAGAAATAGAAAACAAGGTCTTTCACAAAATGTAATGGTTGCATGTGACTTTGACATGAAGTTTGTGCATGTACATGCTGGATGGGAGGGATCTGCATCAGATGCAAGGGTTTTGCAAGATGCACTAGAACATGGATTCAATGTACCGTCTGGAAAATTTTATCTTGTAGATGCGGGTTATGCAAATACACCCCAATTCATTGCTCCATACTGAGGAACTAGATATCATTTACAAGAACAAGGAAGAGTTCAGCAAAGGCCACAATGCTACAAGGAGTTATTTAACCTTCGACATGCTCAACTACGAAATCATGTCGAAAGAATTATTGGCATACTGAAAGCAAGGTATCCCATACTAAAGATAGCTACAATGTTTGATATTGACACACAAGTTGATACAGTTGTAGCTTGTTGTGTTTTGCACAATTTCATAAGACTACACAATGGAGATATGACATTGCCTGAAAGAGCTACAATGGATATTAATGAAAGCAATATGCATGATGTACCGGATGGAGATGCCAAATACAAAAAAGATGTGATGATATTTAACAACTTGAGACAAGCTGGAAATGAGATGCGAGATGCAATGGCAATGCAAATGTGGGCAGATTACATTGCCAGAAGATAAGCATATGTATTGTGTAATTTTCTCATATGTTATGTCATTATTTGGTTGTACTGTACTCCACTTAGTATGATTATTTTTGTCAAACACTGCAGAAAGACATTGCTTTAAGAGCCATTTAACATTGCATTAATAGTCGAATAAGTTTGACACTTCCATAATCATGTGCCCAGTAATGCACATGCACAGCCTACTACAAGTTAACTATGACAAGGATCATAACCATGTGTCCAGAAATGCACATGAACAAAATATATCACATCCTATTACAAGTTAACTACGCCAAGGATCATAATCATGTGCCTATAAATGCACATGAACAAAATATATCATTGTTTTAAAGGTAGCACTCACCTAGTACGAAATATTAGTTCCATCTGATTAGGTATTCTGAATTTTTTCAGTCAACCAACCCAACCGTAATTCGTTACTTGAAAATGATAGAAATACCTCCCTGTTCTCCTTGTTGGCAGTAAAGATGTCCGCTGCTTTTAGCATATCTGCCATCGAAAGACCCTCCAACCTTTCCAGTGCTTTGATGCATTTCTTGATGCTGAACGGGTCCCTTAATTTCCTCTCCTCAATGGCTGCATACCTATCTATTTCTTCCCTTCTCAGTTTCAGGTATCTCTCATGAAAATCGTCAATACTGGTCGTCTTTTGCTTTCTCGCTCTCTTGGTGCTAGTAACCTCAGGAGCTGAGCTAGCTGGTCGAGGATTGCGATGTACAACTTGTGGAATTTCATGCAAAGTCTGTCCAGCGTGCTGTGAGGAAATTGGTACTGTTTCAACTTGGGATGGAGCATGTAATGTCAAGTCATTTCCTTGAGTTGGGTTTGCCTCCACTTGACTGAATGTATTATTGCTAGAAAACCAGTTTGTGTTTTCACTATCCTCTTCAATGTCAAATTGCATGGATGAATCACCAGGAGCATGTATGGTTGGTGTAGGTGTGTGCAGATGCGCCTCTAGCCCTTGCTGTTGTGGTGAATGTGATGTTGGTAACTGTGAGAGCTGAGTTGCTTTGTTCGCATAATAATCCATGCCATGGCAACTTCTTCCCTGAGCATAGCGTCCTAGATGAATTAAGTAAAAGAAAAGGAACATTTATAAGAATCAGCAAAACAAAATTTGGGCCAATTAAGCCAACGATTTAAAGCTCACCATCATATAGAGCAAAAAGATCTTCATAATATGGAAATGACTTTCCTCGCCAGAAGAGTGCATCCTTGTTTTTACGTGCCTCTAGTGCAGCCCAAACATTATCGGGCGCCACCACCATCTTTCTGTCACGATCCCAGCCAAAACCACTTTCAGATATTAAGTCTTTTACAGCTTTGAAATCTCTCTTTAGATCCTGCTCATTTTGCTTCACTTGAACTACCATGAAGGATACATCAAATCTTTGATTGAATTTAGCAACAATATTTGTCCAGGCCTCTTTACTCCATGCATTTTGTGTGCGGTATTTGGGAACATCATGATCTCTTAACAATTCAATGAGATATGCCTTCATCTGATGATTCCACTTGGCTCTACTAGAATTCTTAGACATACCTACCAACATGAAAAGTGCATATTAGGGCTCCAGAAAGTAGATATCGTGAGTATAGTTACTTCTCTGAATATAATAACAATCAAGTGTAATCTTGTTTGTGGTATTGAAGGCAGGTAATAGATTAGGTCTATTCCTTAAATCCTAAAAATACCATGACTCTGTTTTATCTCTTTACTACAAGCACACAACCAAGCCTTTTTTATTCAGAGCAACACCACAGAACTACTAAGCTTCAGGATAGGTTCTTAACTGTATTTTTTTCAAGATAAGCACATATAGAAAAAAACTAAATCAGAAAATGGATACCCTGTGGTAGTATATGCTACCAGGAAGTTTAGCTATGCAGGAAGTCATCTAGCAGGCTAGTAGCACTTCCTCCTAGTATATATCATAGACGAACAAGTAGAAGTAGATCTTTCCCTGTGTAACAACTTCAGCACAAAAAAATGTCTATTCATTTACGCATCTAAACATTCTCAATCTGTGTGACCTATTTTCGTTTTAAGCCTATAGATCTTAAGTAGAAATAATTTCTAGGAGAAGAAATCAATAAGTACTCGTAATTTTTAGGAGAAGAAATCAAAAAGGGTTGGATGGTTACCTCCTAGGGAGATTTCTTGACTTCCCCCAAATTTCTGGTTGTCAAGCCCTTGTGTGGATGGAGGGGGGAGATGTGGAGGCGGAGGAGGGTGGATTCGCCAGCCTACAGTGCTCCGTTGGTGCTCCATGTTGATTCCGCGCCAAAATAATCTAGGGTTCGTCCTTCTCCATGGGGGATTTGGGGGGAGCGGCGGGAGTGCTAGAGATAGGAGACAGCAGTATGAGATAGAAAGGAGGGGCGGCGACTCTGTTTCCTGTGCGTTTCCATTAGGTCTGGGTAGATGTTCTGTTTCCCGTGAAAATCGCTGGAAAGTTGCCTTTCCTAAGGAAAGTGTAGCGCTCTTTCCTTTGTCCCGAACACCTCCAAAGGAAAATATCCATAGGAAAGGAAAGTTGTACGATTCCTGTGATAAATCCTTCGTCCCGAACATGGCCTTATTATAAAATGTAAAAAATGACATATTGAAAGGAAAATGTTTTGTACTATTCATAAGTTTTTGTCATCACATTTGGAAAATGTTCACTCATTTCAAAAATATGCTCCTGAAATTTATAAAAATTGTGAAAAGAATGTTTGTTATGGTTCAAGCAAAATTGAATGTGTGTTTGAAATTGCTTAGTATGTGTTGGAAGAAGTATCAAACATGTATTTGACAAAAAATCAACTGTATCAAAAAATGTTTCACGTGTATACAAACAACGTATAACTTGTATTCAAAATGATGACATGTATTTGGACAAAAGAAAAAAGGAAAGGTAAATAACAGAAAATAAAAATGAAGAAAACTGAATAAGAAACATAGAAAACAAAAATAAAAAAACGCACGGGAGGTTCTAAAACCACTCTACAAAACCTTTCCAAAACCACTTTACTGGACCACCCCTAATGCGAGTGTGGCCAATGCCCAAGCGAGACATAACTTCTGCGCCATACGGCGGCCGGGTCTCCTTGTGGTTGGCAGAGCCATGTTGGGCTCGCTTGTATGCCCAGTCGCAACGACAATTTTGTTTTGGCCATCTGCCTAACCTGTGTATCCACGGAGCTAGGAGTGGTCGAGCCGTGTACCCGACCGAAACGAGGACGGAATTCAAATGTTCCCATCATTGGATGGAGATCGAGTCCGGTGGAACCATGTATGACATCAACTTGTTCAAGTGCTTATTCCGTTGGATCATGGTCCATGAGGCCATCTGCCTGCTGTCTTGGAACCTACTCCCTCCGTTCGGAAATACTCGTCGGAGAAATGCATAAAAATGAATGTATGTAGAACTAAAATACATCTAGATACATCCATTCCTCCGACGAGTATTTTCGGACGGAGGGAGTAGATGGCTGAAGAACAACCTTGGTGAGCCGACTGTGCCAGGATCAGACCAGTCGACCGAAGGTTGACCACCCATTTCACAAGTGCCACCATTGTGGATGACTTCATTCGCGAGTATCAGGACCTACGGGCCAGCTAAAAAAAAGTACGTTCGGACACAAAGGTGGACGTGATTAGTCCCACATCGGTGAGTTGAGAATACCAGGCCTTGTTTACAAGGGAGGAACGTGACCGTCCATACGCGCCCTTCTATATAGCACACCAATAGGTGAGATGGTGACCAATTGTGCGGCACTGCACAATTAGCAACTAACAAAACAAATGATCAAGGTTAAAATCATTGTCATCATCAGATTACCTCAGCGTATGACACATGCGCTCCGCTTTTTAACCCTTTTACAAAGCTCAATTTGAATGCCCCATATTTTTAACCCAAATTTTATATCCCTACGGTAGGAAATGAAAGAAAAGATCGAGCTTAAGCCGGTTCCATTGCAGAATTTTAATTCCTAAAGCTTTATAAGATTATATTTTTGGAAAAAGGGTAGTTGTTGCACCAAGGAGATATATACGCATAAATAAACACGTCATTATAACATGATTACCTATGCGTCTTTTTTTTCCTTTCACAAAGCTCAATTTGAATGCCCCTTCTTGAATTACCTTTGCGTATGACACATGCATTTCGCTTTGTTTTTAATTCCTAAAATCTTTAAGAATGCAATTTGATTTATTTTTATATCCCTATGATAGGAAATGAA